TTCACATTGAAAGGAGAGAAGCTATGCTCTTGCCACAGACCTTGCAAACATGATTAGATGATTTCCCTCTCTGTGAAACCTACATCCACACTCTCTTTTAATGGAACACTCAAAAGATATTCTAATCAAGACAAACCCTAGAAATTAAAGATTCAAATTTTAGCACCCACATCCAACCAACATATAAATGTAAGTAATTTACAGACTTTCTGCCCACACAACAGAATATTTTTAATCATGTTGGTATTCTGTACTAGAGACAGGGCTCTAGACTAACTTTTTGACATGGGCGTACCGGTACGCCTAACTTTAAAAATTTAGTCGTACCGGCACAAAAGTTAGGCGCACACTTTTCAACCGCATCGCTTATCACTGCAGTTTTACATGTGCACTTTCTTTGGGGGAGGGGGAGTCCATACAGACAATATTCATTTCTAAATTATTAACTAACAAACTTGTGCTTAAAGTGCTTTGTCAATATTGTAGAAAATGTTCAACTTAATCATCATCTCGGCCTCCTCTGACGACCTGTTTGCTGCTGCCTGTTGCTGAAAGGCAGTGGGCAGAGGGGACACTTGGGCAGTGCATTTATTGCAGCATATAATGTGTTTCCTGGATACACTGCTGCTTTTTCAGCGTTCAAAGATTGATGGCACTGTGTCAGAGCACTGGCTATGAATTTCAGACGGATCAGGCCTTAACTTAGCAAAAAAGTTATCAATAGTTCTTTTCATCTTTTCTTATTACCCACATCCACTTCTGTCAGGCCAAGGCTGCTCACTAGGGCTGGGTATCATCACTGATTTCTATAATCCATTCGAATCCGGTTTTCAAAGTCCTGATTTGATTCAATTTATCCTCAGACAGTCAGAAATATTATAATTCTGATCATTTATCAGTACTGATACATGTGAGACTTCATCAGAATTGTGAACATCACAGCAGATGCCTTTGTGTGAAAGTAACTGAGAATAAAACACAGAAAAACATGAAGGAGATTTTCCTGGCCTGGCTTTTTATAGCAGATAACCTTAAAAACATTCTGCAATTTTGCATAATTTTAAGAAGTTTAATTTCTTCAGTATTGAACAGCAGAAATTAGGCTATCTTGTCCGAGGTCATTTAAGTGAAAAAAGAAAAAGACAGCGCTGTAAACAACGGTAGACTGGTGGGTAATAAGCGAATGAATAATGCAGAAAACAGAGATTTGAGACGGGAAACTGTTCCTGAAGTACACAGAGAGAGAGCTGTGCATGAAGTGTGATTTTTATCGCGGTGGAAGCAAAACAGCAAAAGTCAGAGGGAATTCATGACGACATTGATCAAATGTGAAGTGTAGTTCGCTGCTTCTTTTGCTGCTGGCTCGGCAAATTTTGGTTGGAGAGAGACAAAACCTGCAGCTCAGAATCAGCGCAAAAAAGACGTAAACACAGAGCGGACCCGACGCATCAGAATCGCTAAGCTCCGACAGTGTGTCCGTGTTCGGGCCGTCGGGTGAGAAAGCCGAGAAAGACAAAGCTGATTCTGATGCGTCGGGTCCGCTCTGTGTTTACGTCTATAGAGTGGAATCCGTTAATGAATTGATATCGCTTTATTCAAACTACTCACCTCTCTCTTCCACCTGCACTTTCAACTGGACCACGGCCTATCAGAGAGGTCCCGCCCCTGACTATCTCTGATTGGTTTAGTCCACGATAGGGGCTGTGTGGTCAACAACAGACCACACAGAGTTGCAGAGATTTTTTTTTTTTTTTTGTTACCCGAACAGTTTTTTTAGTCGCACCACTGAAAAATATGGTCGCATTTGCGACCAAATTGGTCGCACTCTAGAGCCCTGAGAGACCAATGTTCTCTCTAATTTTTCATGTGTCTGAGCGAACACACAAACTCCCTGAGCGATCCCGTGGACCACTGTGAGCGACATCAGACGTGTGCACTGTGGTTACATGGTTTATTAAAATAATCAAACTACAGCATTTACATTTATGTTAGACTACTTTTAAACTGCTGTAGCCCACTTACAATGAAAATGTAAAAAAAAAAAAAAAATCTAGCCATTGGCCTGTGTAGTATGTTAACACTATTGGAAGTAAAAATGACTTGAACTCCAATTTCAAAAACACAACTTTCTTTTTCTTTTCTTTTTTTTTATAAAGCTCTGACTTGTATTATGAGTATGAGTCTGTGGTCTGGGAGAGAGTCCTGTAACTCTCTGTCTGCAAAATACAGTATATAATGACCAATGTTGGGCAAATAATTATATAGTTACTCCTCAAAAAAGTAACTCAGTTTGGCAAACAAAAAAGGTTTTTGCAGCTATTTTTTTTAAATGCAGCCAATGCATTTTTAAATAAACATTTCAAACTATTTACAGAACAATCAGCTGTTCTGCATCAAATCTGATGCCACACAAATTATTTGTGCCACTCCAAAAATAATTTCTGTCCACTATGAGATAAAGGAGAACAACAGCCTGATACCTGCAGGCCTGACAACAGCAGATGTATCACTCCTGTAACACCTGTAACATTCAGCAGTCGCCTCATTGTTCTGACACACTCTACAAATCTACTGACTACACTACACATTAACTACACAAGATTTGCGCTAAACGTCTCAAATCTCTCACATCTCAAAGCACCGCTGTCACTCCTAAAATTTCCCCCGTTTCTTAACAACTAGATGCCACGTTGCCATACCATTTTTTGATTGGTCGACATGGTACTTTTTTGGACGAATAGGAAAGAGAGAGGGGGTGGGGGGGTTTGTTTTTGCTCACATGCCGAGAGTGCTTTTGAGCCTTTTTTCTTATAAAACGCCGTTTTTACCGTTTCTTCCCGCAGTAAATATAAACAACGATAGTATTCAAGAAGGAAACCAAACATTGCATATTTTTTTTACCATAACTCTGGTTTTACATGGTCTATCAACACAATTTAAAAACTGGTATAAAGTCCACACTTTTTCCGTCAATTGTTTGTCTGTCCTGCTCACATTTCCAATGGTTGTACACGTTGTCATTACAGTTTTTTCTGATTGCTTAAGCACATTTTTTGTAACTATTGGCTAATTTTGCAAAACTCTTCACACAAATAAGAAAACCTGTCACCCAATCATCAAAACATTGTAGTTCTCTTGCAAAAGCAAACACAGCTAGATTAACTCTTCACACCTTTGTAAAAATGGTGTTTCCGTATCAAACAGTACACACAGGCCATCATCTACTAAGCACACAATGCGCCAACTGCACACTGATGGTATGAATACAAAACACATCTGGCTTTTGCTTTCTCTGTGCACAAGGTAGGCTATGTCAGTTTGAGCTCATACTTCTGTCATAGATCCATAAGCATAGAGGGATCCAAACTTCAAGTACATCAAAACAAACACAAGTGTTTATTTCCAAGTATAGGATTATTTGCAATCGCCATAATGACTATATGGGTTACTTGGTCTGCAGTGAACATGCTTCCTCTGCCCCCAGCATCTGGTCATCTAGCAATTCTGTAAAGTAACAATTTCAGTATTTTTACATCAATGGTATTGGTGTGTTTCTCATTGGCATATGGCAGTGCTACAAATCTTTGTGCGAAGTGACTGTACTCACCGATTCTCATTTCAAGATGTCCCTATGGTACTTGCTACAGTGTAGCGGCTCGAGTTAGGCTGGACCTGTTGGCCAGCTACCCTCAGGGTTATTCCACGGTTGATTACATGGTCCACTATTGTAGCTCTGATGTCATCAGCAATTCTATTTCTTACTCTTCCTACCCTTCCTCTCCCCCCTCCTCATCTTCCTCTCCCTCCTCCTCGTCTTCCTCTTGCTCCTCCTTGTCCTTGTCGTCCTCTTCATCCTACTTCTTCACCTCCACATCCTCTTCCTCGGCCTCCTCTACTTCTCACTCTTTCTGCTCCCTCCATTGTACTCCGCACACAGAGCTTACCTGTATTACAGTTTTTTTCAGTCGCTAACAAGCGTTTGTCCAAACAGTTGTCACATTTGCAAAACTCTAAACACAATTAGCACAGCATCGGTCTGTTGTGGCCATACCATTCACACATTTCATGTCGTGTTCACCCAATATGCAGTCAGTGAACACATTTCCACAATGCTTACATTTTCTTAACAGACAAGCTATACCTCCCAACAAAATTATGGACTGTTTTTGTAGTATCTACGAATGTTAACACACAACATCCCACAATAGCAAAAACAATATTCCAAACCTTAGATACAGTATAAAAGCCTCTGCTTCTGCAATGATATCAGTACAAAAACAATATCAATATCAAAAATATATCTCAGCTGATAATAAACAAACAACTGAATAATTGAGACACAGCTTATTTATGTTGGGTAAATTGGGCCAACCACAGCTTCTTCCATTCTGGCTTAGACTCAGTGGGGTTTATAAGGCAAGACCTTGAGGAGTGATGTTTTTGGAAACAAAAAAAAGACAAACACTGTAATGTCTGGTCGAGGAAGAGTAAGAGCAAGGGGCCCAGGGAGAAGAGCAGGCCCAAGGAGAGGGCAAGGTAGAGGTGTAAGAATGCGTGGTGGTGGCATTCCAAGGGCTGCAAGAACAGTAGTCAGTGATGAAATTCGTGCCACTATCATTGACCATGTAATCAACCATGGTCTTTCACTAAGAGAGGCTGGTGAAAGAGTGCAGCCCAATTTGAGGCGGTCAACGGTTGCCTCCATTATACGCATCTTTCAACAAACCAACAGGTAAGTATTGCATTTTACATGGATTGTTTCTATTCTCACTTGACATGTCAATATGGTCATACAGTAATGCATATGTTGAATTGTCTGTCTTTCTAAAGAATGCAACGTCTTCCACCCTCTGGGGGAAGAGGAAAGCTCCTCAGTAATGATCAGGAGCTTGCCATTGTAGAAATGGTTACTGCAAATAATGCAATAAAACTGCGTGAAATTCAAACTAGAATTGTGGCAGACCAGGAGATATTTGACAATATCGATAGAATCAGCCTCACAACCATTACGCGGACATTGTCCAAACACAGAGTGCGGATGAAGCAGCTCTACACTGTTCCCTTTGAGAGGAACAGTGAGAGGGTCAAGGAGCTACGACGACAATATGTCCAGGTATAGTGTATATTCAATCCAATGTCCAGTTCTATAAGCTTTGCACTTTGCAAGTAGGTAACCTACACAATACTAGGTTACAGTACAGTATGGTATACAGTAATAACCTGACTTACATAAACTTTGTTTCAGAGAGTTATGGAATTGGAGGCCAACCAGGCCCCTCATGAATTCATATACATCGATGAGGCAGGATTCAATCTGGCCAAAAGGCGTCGACGTGGACGAAATGTAATTGGAAAAAGGGCCACAGTTGATGTGCCAGGACAGAGAGGGGCAAACATTACCATGTGTGCAGCAATTGCAAATGCAGGATTACTCCTTCACAGATGTCAGGTTGGACCCTATAATACAGAGCGCTTGCTTGCCTTTCTCAATGATCTCCACCAGCGCCTGGTTCCAGAGCAGGGTCAGGAGGGTGAAAACATGAGGACCTTTGTAATTACCTGGGACAATGTGGCTTTCCATCACTTGCAAGCAATAACAACATGGTTTGAAGTCCACCCAAGACTGGTAAGTCTCTTCCTTCCACCCTATTCACCTTTCCTCAACCCCATAGAGGAGTTCTTTTCTGCATGGAGGTGGAAGGTTTATGACCATCAGCCACATGACCAGATGTCCCTCCTTGAAGCCATGGATGCCGGCTCCAGGGACATCACAGTTGACGATTGCCAAGGGTGGATCCGACATACCAGGCGGTTTTATCCCAGGTGTATCGACTTAGATAACATCAGATGTGATGTTGATGAAAACATGTGGCCTAACCCTGAAGATCGCAGAGATTAGATGCAAATTTTTTGCCTTTTTTTAGCCCCCCCCCCCCCCCCCCTTTTTTTATCTTGGCTTTTTGCTGTTGTTTTTTTGTTCAGAATGCTCTTGTGTGTTTCATGGATATTTTGTTCACTGTAAGCAATACTGTAAAACTTTCTCTGTCCTATCATACTGTGTTTCTACTGTACCTCCTGTAGTAAACAGTAAAGAAACAAAAACTTGTTTGCTTTTTACTGGAATGCTTTTGAATGTGAACATTACTGTACATGTGGACATACAGTTACCAACCAAGACATTTCTGGTGTCAAAATGGTGGATTGCATGTTTCGCATGCAAATACCTGTAAAACTGAAACATAAAAGTCTATGCAGTTTTTGTAATGTCAATAATAGCCAGTATTTTGAAACCTGGTGTACTTTGATTGACTGCATGTACCTTGTGAAGTGAAAACAAGTGTTATTCTTTGACAGACTAATTTCATTTTGAGTCAGATTTATAGTGTTTTTGTACAGTTAGTGTGTGCAGAGAACGATGTGTTCTAATTTTGAAATGAGGAGTTAGTATATATTTAACAAAGTGTATTTTTGAGAAGGAAATTATCCATTTGGCCAATTGTGTTTTTGTAGGTGTGAGTCTGTGTTAAGAGTTTAGAAAAAGTATCTGAAGTATGGGTAGGCGCTTGTTAGCGATTGAAAAAAACTGTATAGTGCTTAGGCTGATTGCAAAGTGAACTAATTATCTAAAAAAGTTTTCACATGTGAAAGTGTGCCAGACAGTTGGCAAGTTAGTGTTAATGATAGCCATACATGTGTATACTTTTGCTAGGAGTGTGTTGGAAATTTGGTAATTGAGTGTTGTGCAGTGAATTGTGCCTACAGTTTTGCAAAGTGTGTGTTACAAAATTGCAAACTGAGTGCAAAGCAGTTTTTGTGCTTTTAGTTTTGCAAACTCAGTGAGTGGTTTTGCTATAAGTCTGAATAGTTTTAGAGATTGTGCTACAGGAATCACAGTTAGGGTTTAAGCATTCAGAAAAAACTGTATTAATAAAAATGTTCCTGTGTTATCCTCGACCAATGCTCTTAGTGGGTAAAAAATCCGTTTGGAATGGTAGCACTCTATGTATTCAGACAAATCCAATTTAACCAAAATTAAAACTATGATTAATGATTAATTAAAAAATAAAACGTATCCCTGATAATTAACATCTCCCTTCTGGTTGAGGACAAAAAACACACTGAGAAAATGATGTGGCTTGGGAACATTAGGGTTTAATGAGAGCAACGCTGTTGAAGAAGAGAGCGCATGAAACCAGGTGATAAATTTTACATTTAATAGACTGAAGGGTAATACAGCCTCTGAATTTTACTCCAGGCAAGAAGGCAGTGAAACAATCCCGAGACCTATCAAAATATTTGACAGTCCTTGAAATATCTTAGGCCGATCAAATCAAAAACACATTAATGTTAGAGATTATTTCACTGTATGCTTGGGTGTGTTCATGATGGAGCTGGTCTCCAGAGCTCCAGAAAATGTCAACATTGATCAAAGCTATTTTACAGACAGAGCTTTAGAGGCTCATTGCATATATATTGATAAATCTGAGTACATACGCGATAAATTAAATTATCCAATTCCTGGAAATAATGAAGAGCTCTGGTCCTTCACAGCACTTAGATCCATCATTCTTGCTGATACCAGTAAATAACCTACTTAAATTAGTTCAGTAACAGTAACTATCCCTTTTCGTATCTAGAAACCCTTAAGTCAAGTTAAAAGCGAGTGGATACTTAAAGTCAGGCGAAATACATGGTCTCCACTTGCTGTTATAGACAGTACTTTCCCATTCTTATGGAACACGTTGAGCATCAAAAGATATATCCTTGAAATATTTTAGTGTGTTGCTTTTACTTTAATCAGATAATGTGAAGCTTCCAACCTTGACTACAACGTAGCATTCATTCATTGTCCACTTTGTCTGTTTTATAGGTAATGAAACCATCCAATATTGCTGAGCATGGCGTGTCAGTGCAAGAGGGAGCAACATAAACTGTATCGACACACAGCGTTCACGCTTTCTTGATGTCCTCGTCAAACTGTCGGGCTTAAAAGCCAGCTGCTCTAATTAGCTATGGATTCTCTTGTACAGTGGCTCTTCCTCAATATTTGACATGATGTCATTTGTACAGCCACCAACAGTAAGTGTTTGAGCAGCTGCTACACCCTTAAGTGAAGCTCTGAAAGATGTTTCATAGACGCATCAACAAACATAGCCAAAAATGTTTGTGTAGTCCAGGATTTTCCTTTTGGCCTGACATCATACCCATTTCTGGTAATTACTTACTGACAGAAGGTCATAAGTAACACCAGCTTGTAATCCTGGAAGGATGGTTGTAACCAAGTTATTAGCTTTAATCGTTCCAGTGTTTGTAAGACTGAAAAACTGTAATTTTGAATTATAAACTAAATAAATATTACAGAAACCAGACCAATATTCAACAGTCAAGACTGTATTTCAGCAACTAAATACTCATGTTCTTAATGGTCTTAATGATAATGCTAATGTGCCAACATTCAGTAGGCTTAACACTGAAAGTGTGTATTGTGTCCACATAATCAGAAATATTCAACCCAGTGTTGACTGTTTCAACCTCGTTAAGATATCTTAAGTCATGCAGGTTTTTGATTATAAAATACTAGATGAATTAAAACTGAACTTATTGTAGCACTGCCTCCAAAGTCAGGAGACAAAAAATATATACAGTGTCTGTGGAACATCCGTTTTGTTGAAGAAGTAAAAACTGTCAGTCTACACCAAAGTAGTTAATGGACCAAGACGCCTATTCAAATTGCCATCTGTTAAGTGCAGCTTCTATGGTTAAATCTCTATATTGTGCTCTTAAGTCTACTCGGACTGTGCCATGTTATAACGTCTAGTGTTTATATTCCTTTGCAGAACAATGACACAAGCCCACACATGTCCGAGTGCGAGAGCAATATGTCAGCCTCCAATCAAGGTTTAGAACCCTTTGCACTTATGAAGGAAACCTGTCCCTCATTAAGGTGGAAACACCAAATTTGTTTCACCATTTGAGGCAAAAACACAACGTCTACTACAGCAGGGCTGTAAACAAATGACTCATCCAGGCATTACTGGAACACTCCCTAGTTGCACTCAATATTACAAGAAGAGCAAATACAGATGCAAATTACTAATGCAGCTTCATGGAAAACCGGGGCTTTGAGCAGCTGGTTAAAATGTAAGATCCAAGAAACAACATCACAGTAGAAAATATTTTTTAATTATATTTCTAATATTTGACGATATTATGCCGTATCACTGTATATGATACTGTGCCACTGCTTTTGCACTATCATGTTGCTGCAGCTGGCACCTTGATAGATTCACAATTTGAATTCGGCAGTCTGTAATCAATTATAGCAGATCATTGGGGAAAAAAGGATGGAAAATGTCCTTCATTTCGTTTACACTAATAAATGCTGTTTCATGCAAACTGCAAAAACCAATAAAACACTGTTTTACAATACAATTTTGATGATATATTACCTTCCCTAAAAAAACAAACAGGCTAGTTATACGTTTTGCATCCTCTTGCAGTATAATGTCCCATTAGCCCCACAGTTTATAGTTTTCATTCATGTAACACTGTCATACATTCGGATTTGATTTTGTCAGTTTTTTAAGCTGAAGACACCAACAATCAGACGGCTCCCCGTGTCCATGCTCTTAGCAAGAGTGGGAAGGAAAAAAATCCCTTTTAACAGGAAGAAACCTCCAGCAGAAGCTCACGGAAGGTGTAGCATTCTCCTGTGACCAGGTGGGGGGTAAAAGGAATAGAGCAGAGGGCAGAGGCAGACAGAGCATAAGATACACTGTAGGACAGTGAACCAGAAGTCATCTTTGATAAAATAATTAGTGAATAATTTAAACTGAAACTGGAAATGTGTCTAATTTGAAACATTTCAGTATTGTAGTTCATGTCATATGGCATGAAAGTAGCTAGCTAGCTAATAATAGCTATAGCACTCACCATAGCTTTGAATTGTACCAGACTGCTGAATGTTTGACCCATCTAGATGAAACACATATACAGCACTGAACCTTTTCACCCTGACAGCAGTGCATGGGGAGAGATATATAAGATATATGCAAACCATTGGCAAAGTGGAGTTCTAACAGAAACTTTGCAGTTTTTGGTGACTGAAATACTTGGGTGGGTGCTGTATGTGGATCACAAGTGTCCAGACTTGCAGTTTGTTCACATATTTGTTTTTCATCTTTTGAGATTTGATCTTAATATTCATGACTGGAAACTCAGTGGAAACCGGTACGCTGGGCCGGTGTTTGCTCTCCCGAGCTTCACTTTGGTCACATGATGAAAACTATGAATAAATGGATCTCTTCTTCTTTTGATCATGGTTGCTGTTTTGTTTGTGCTTTCCACTGCCAGCACAGGGCCCCAATGGATACAACTCACCGAATCAGAGCTCCTGATTTTGAGGCATATAATGACAGGGATTATTAATATATATACAAGTATAAGAAAATCATTAAAGTCAATTAGATGTCTTTGTATTAATAGAGCTGCTATTGCTGGGAACATTATGGCTTTGAAGTAGATGTGTTTATTCCCTTTATGTTGTGTTTTGCTTGAATAATGTTTATGTTACAGTTATTTGTCCTTTACTGAAAAGTAAAGAGCAGCTCACAAACAATTTCCCCCCGCTCATTTGCAATGACAAAAAATAATAGGTCAGCGATGTTTTCTACATATGTTTCTGTTTAAGAGTACACAATTCGGTGTCAGATTGTTCCGAGGCTCAGTAAAAGAAAGCTCCAGTGGACTCAAAAGCACGTGCACAGACACCTGCAAAAGATCCCTTGTGAATTTCTAGGAAATGCTTCCGTCAACACAAACCAAATCAGCACACTTTGTGCTTGTTTCAGTAATAAGATTTTCATGGTGCGCATTTTCAGCTGCAACCTACATGGCCTGTGTCACCTACTGTTTCACACTCAAAGCCCAAGCCTCAGAACCACTCAGCTCTTCCCTCTGAAGAATTCTAATCAATCAGGAAGCCCGCCGGCCACCTCTACAAGAGCTCTCTCATTCCCAGCCAGGACAAAAAAAGACCTCAGTCAGTTGGGAATATAGAATACTGAAGCCTGTGGATAAAATGAGTGCCTGAAGTCTAATTTTGGTAGATGAAAGACAGGGAACATTGGTGCAGAATACAGCCCTTTCCCAAAGAGCCTTTTACAGTCAGAACTTTAAGTTAGCACTTTGTTGCTCATAATTTTTCAACTAACTGACTGAAGGGAAAGAGTTAGCTACTTTTGATTAGCTGAGTGTACCTCAGTGTAAACAAGCTGTACATCTGCTGTTTCAGTTTATGTGAGTTCAATGCATAATAAGACTCTAACACTTTGTTATGCTGACCCCGGCATCTCACACACACACACACACACACACACACACACACACACACACACACACACACACACACACACACAAAGCGTGATTAGTATGATGACAATCAGCTGTTGTCCCCTGAACCCACTGCTCCACCCCTCCCCTGCAGCTGAGCCATAAAATCACACCTCATCAAATACCCCCATCACCCGGCCTAGCCTACCCTGTAAGGCCAGATATTAACAGGTGATTCGGGTGTTAGCATCCTTCATGTGATGGAGTCACTGAAACGGGTGAAACGGGTGGCGGGTGTGACATCCAAACAGAGGGTGTAAGGGTGGCCCAGGAGGTAATAACGAAGAGAGTCGACTGCTCAGTGGATCACCAAGCACTCCTTTTCCACCATGCTGTTGCAAGCTTCTTGCAACAGCGTGACAGCTTACGGTTAACGTAGACCATGGGAGGTCACCCCCCTGGGACAAAATGCCCCCAGTCTTCAATTTGAGGCAACAGTCTGTAAAGTAAAAGGGAGGGAAAAGTTTGGAGTGTGGAGCAGGGCTTTCCTACAGAGAGCCTTCTTCACCTGCACAAGCATTGCAATGCACTGCTCCGCCCACTGGACCAGATCTGATGGACCCTTTCAAGGGAGATCAGTCAAGGGGCTGGTCAGCTCCACAAAACTGGGCATGAACCAGCGGTAATAACCAGCCAGCCCCAAAAGTTGTCTCACCTCTTTTCTGGTCTTGGGCAGGATGTGACAGCTGCTGTCTTGTCCATCTGTGGGCGCACCTGCCCACCTCCCAAGTGGTGTCCCAGATACTATATCTCCTTCTGTCCAACCACACGGTTCTTCGGGAGGCCCGCCTGCCTCGGGGACTCCAGGACTATGGCCACCCAATACACACGCTCCACCCACTTCATTCCCCTTGCGGTAGTCAGCATCGCCATCTTTCTACACCACAAGAACTATGGAGCTATACCATGTACTGTGTGACTCTTCTAATACTTCCAGTTTCATAATTTTAGCCAGTCCTCTCCAAACAATTTGTCTATTATGTTCAGGTAGCGGATAGGGCCGTGAACCCACAATCGCACAAGGGTGTATTTGAAAATGGTGCTCTATGAGACTTGTACAATGCCAATGCGAGAACCAATGCCTAATGGGACCTCTTTAAATGGTAGTGGACACAACAGCACTTTTGGAATGCCCAACTGGTTAACCAGCTGAGATTCCTGGCAGGGCGCACACCATCAGCGCACATCCACCAAGATACCTGGCCAGTAAAATGGGCCATTATTTGCTTCAAAGTTTTGGCATATCCCATTTGCCCCTCCATGGGGTTATAGTGAGCTGCCTGAAAATTCATTTCCCAGCAGCTTTTAGGCACCAACAACTGGGTGTGTTCTTCTTCAATGTGAGTCTTTTGACTTATTCGATAAAGCCTATATTTAATCAATACAAAATGCGGGTAGGTCAGCGCTGCTTCAGGGTGCACCATATGACCATTAATTTTTATTACCTGATCAAAGGCTGAGCATAGGGTGTCGTTACACGACTGCTCTAGCAGGAAATCTCCCGTGGAGTGAGAGCATGGAGGCAGTGGGGCCTCATGAGAAGGCTATGTGTCACCGCTGAGACTATAAGCTGCTAAAGGTCATGAACGCATCCCCACACACTGCTCCACTAGGTTATTAAACCTTGGCCAATCTGTCCCCAGAATTAAGAGCTAATTATGAGCTAACTGCAGCCTTAACACTATGCATTTCGCCCTTATATTACATTTAGAGCAGCACAGTAGGATATTTGTAAATGTCCCCATTCACACACTTAACCTCCACCCAGTATTCTGGTCACCCACTTCGCCAACATTCCTCCCCCCAATGTTTGTAATTCCTTGGTGACATGGGTACAGTGCCTTTAGCCGGTGGGATAGAGAGCAGCGAGGAAAGGTTGTTGGATTGTGGCCAACAGTCCTCGGTGGTTGGTGGAGATGGGGTAGGCCAGGGAAGTTTCCTCCTCAGGGCCAAGACTGGCTGGCCTCCCCCCTCCCCCGGCAGCAATCTTGCAGGTGGAGACATCTGCTGTATATGGATGTGTAACTTCTCTTAAACATATTGCAACCAAATGGCATTGTGTTTCTCATGGTGCCTGAAAGTAAATTTGAAAATCTAACAGAAGTGTCTCCTCTCAAAAATCATGACCCTGTTACTTAAAAAAAAAAAAACCTCAGAAAGGTTTTCTGTAGGATGAGTTTTCTTTGTACCAAATACCATCTGCCAACCTAAAGAAGCGTGCAGCTAGCTAACTTTGGAGGTCAGCCAAGTGGGACCCCATCAACATTTATCTCATCACAAGCAGATGTACAGTTTATTCTACACAGTGATACAGTTGGCAGGTTTAAGACAACTTACATCAAAGCATTCTAGATGGATAATGATTCTGGGATGAATATCCCTTAACTATTCACCACACTGGCCATATTTCCCTGGTTGTTCAGCTCTATAATAAATTAATGAACCTCTGGTGATGCCAGCTTCCTCTGAGATGCTGATGAGAAGAGACACACGAGAAAAAAAACTCAGGTGGGATTCACACAGGCCAACAGGGAAGCTTATCACTTATAAATGGTATCTCACGTTGAAGAAATTTCTGCATCAAAAGGACCTTAATGTCACAGCTTTCAAACTGACTTCTTTTTTAAATGACAAGATGATCAGTGTAAAGCAGGGCCACTGCTAAAGCAATGGGAACAAATGTCTGCGGTTCAGCCGCAGGCATTCAGAAGATGTTTTCCCTCTTGACAGAAAAGCTACACCATTTGAGTAATAGCAACTCTGAATTTTGATCTTCAGACTGATAATACATTGGCATGACATAGTCTCCAGTGAGTTTCAAGATGAAGCGAATTGGATTTGTGTCACTTGTTTGACATAATTTTACACAGTTTTACGGAAGTCCTGTTAAAGCTCTGATATGGTCTGTTTTTAATGCTTTGGGCAAAATCCTACAGTAAATTTCCCAATTAATTCTTTAGTGCCAGACAAAGGATGTAAACTGGGGAATCATGTGATATCTCTGCAAGCAGATGCGGCACTGTCTGTTGTTCTATTACTTTGACGCAGCGAGTCGGATTACTGCTACCTTTTAACTTGTCGGATTTAAATGTAGATTTCATTTCCTGCATATGAAGTAAATGGCCCATGACGTTGCTTATCGTGGCCCTGAGTGCATTTAGGGTTCAGCTGTGCATGTTAACTGTGTTCTTAGTCAAGCTAACTCACTCAGTCACACAGCATACCAATATCAACACACTGTTGTGCATGAATACACACACCCACTTCTGCTAATTCTTCTGTGACTCTCTTTTTCTGCTTCTTCATAATCAAACATAACCAATAATAATAAATATCACCACTTGCTCAAAGGACGATTATGAATACAACTTAGATCTTATTTTTGGAGCTTTTACCATCATTCCTACCAAAGATGATGAAGTAAAAAAACATTTTCATTGTTTAAATAAAGCCTGAAGGGATAAGAAATAATGGATTATATAAATCCCCATGTTAGAAAAATCTTAAATGTGAAAGAAAATAAAAGCAAACGGTTCAATAATTACCTGTAGATACAACACTCAAAATTTCATTCTTGCTTTTATTTTTTCATTTTTACCACCAAATAAAGTAAACTCAATAGTTATATATTCTTTCTTTTACATTTTTTTTTTTTTTTGGTTTGCTTTTTTATTCAGATACTTTTAAGGCTGTGATTGGGAATGTCCACAATAGTAATGTGTTACAACTGTAGCATTCCAGCCGGACTTTATTCAGACGATGCACTCAATGATCATTACGGATGGACCATGGTGGGGTATTCCAACCCATTTATTCACAAATTGCCATAGACACATCGTAAGAGCTGTAATCATAACATAAAACAAACATTCACTTGATATAACCACGTTTCTGTTATGCTAATCAATTCACAGAAAAGGCACAGGAGGTGCTAGCATCAGCCTGCTAGATCGCTCATAAACTTATTAACAATCAAGTAATACATTTACAAATTGTCCGAAATGTAAACAACAAGTACAACACACAAACATACCTGTTCGCCTTCCAGCTAGATGCTAATTTTAAGATGGATGGAAAACGATAACCTTCTCATTTAATCCTTTCTGCGGCAAGCAGTTGCGGTACGATCTTCCTTCCCGGAAGTTGCCCGTTACGAATTTCAAAATAAGAGTTTAATCTATATTATAAAGTATAATTCGTTCAGGGATTTAACTGTTCGAAAAATATCAAATAAACAAATAATCTGGGTCATTTACACTCCCACCAAATCATTAGTGTTCAAAAACATAACTCCATAAACATAGGAAGAAAGAACACAATGATTTCATAATACAAATAATGACCAAACAACAGAAGCATAGTATGCAAGGAATGGACTAGTCACCTTCCAACAATAAGACTAGTTTTTGAACTGGCCGTTCGAGCACTGACCGCTTAGTAAGACGTTCACCATTTTTGCCAAGTTTCCTGTCACCTAGACAGAGCTTCACTCTCCTAACCAGTCCATCTCTGTCCATTGTAGTCTCTACGACTCTTCCCAACCTCCATTCATTTCTGGGCAAGTCTTCATCCTTCATTATGACTATATCCCCGATCTGCAGGTTTCTCTTTGGGGTGTGCCAGCGTTGTCTAAAGGCAATGTTGGCTAAGTACTCTTTCTGCCAACGGCTCCAGAACTGCTCGGCCAAATATTGTACGTGGCGCCATCTCTTTCCTGCACTGTAGAGAGGCCGATTGACTTATCCTTGTTGATCCTTCGAAGAATGCGAGCCACTGCACAGATGGCGCGAGTCCAGGATGAGAACTTTGCCAGCCGATAAGTAAGAGAATCTTGTTCTACAGTTTCCGTGTTTAGAGTCCGTGTTTCCTTAACTTCTGGATCTCCGACTGACAGTTCCGGAGCCACCTCTTCTGAGAGGTCAACTCCCTTTTCCCATAGAAATGCAGGGCCGGTAAACCAGTCCGATGATATTAGCTCATGGACAAAACAACCTCTAGAAGCACGATCCGCAGGATTCTGGTCAGTAGGGACGTATCTCCATTGCCTTTGATTCGTGTAGAGATGTATCTTCTGGATACGGTTGGCTACGAATGTATGAAAACGTCGAGCCTCATTATTGATGTACCCTAGTACAACCTTGGAATCGGTCCAAAAATGCTCTTCAATGTCCGCATATCCAAGTTCTTCCTTCAAAACATTGCTGGTTTTCACAGAGATGACTGCAGCCGTCAACTCTAATCTTGGGATCGTGGTGACCTTTGTTGGGGCAACGCGAGATTTGGCCATGACTAGTGCACAGTGGATGTCTCCTTCTTCATTGCTAAGCCTCAGATATGAACACTGTCCATAGCAGGTAGTGCTTGCGTCGGAGAAGTGATGTAACTCACGTTTAATAACCCTTCCGAAATCTGCCGGGGCATAACTTCGGGGTATATTTATCCTCTCCAAGTTGTTGAGGTCGTTTTTCCATTTCTCCCACCGTGGACGAAGTTCGTTGGTTAGAGGGTCGTCCCAACCTGTTCCATGGCAGCACATCTGCTGCAGCACTTCCTTTCCAATGAGCAAAAAGGGGGCTATGAGACCCAAGGGATCGTACAGGGATGCAACAATGGACAATATGCCTCGACGTGTTGCAGGCTGTTCCTTAAGGTTGGTGCTGATCTTCAGGCAGTCTGATTCGACGTGCCATTGGATACCCAACGCTCTCTCTGAAGGTAAGTTATCAAAGGCAAGGTTGAGGTCTTTAATGTCTGATGCACGTTCAGTTGCTGGTATGCTTACCAGGACAGCTTTGTCATTGGACACAAACTTGTGGAGCCTAAGACCACCCAGGGCACAAAGTTTTCTGGCTTCTTCTGCTAACTTGATAGCCTTCTCTGAGCTGTCTGTACTTGTGACTCCATCGTCGACATAGAAAT